TAGTCATAATTTTTTTTTTTGAGACACATTCTTGCTCTGTTGCCCAAACGGGAGTGCAGTGGCACAAACAGGGCTTACTGCAGTCTTGACCTCCTGGGCTCAAGCAATCCTTCCACCTCAGCCTCCCAAGTAGCTGGGACTACTGGTGCATGCCACCACACCTGGCTAATTTTTAAATTTTTTTTAGGGAGAGACAGGGTCTCTTCCTTATGTTGCCCAGGTGGGTCTTGGACTCTTGGGCTCACGTGATCCTTCTGCCTCAGCCTCCCAAAGTGCTGGGATTACAGGCATGAGCCGCTGTGCTTTGCTGTTCCCTGCAGTTTTATCTAAGTGCCCTGAGCTGTCTGGGCACCCGTGGGCCTCGCATCTCTCTGTGAAGTGGCTGTGATTCCATTTATCAACTTCACACGTGAGGAAGGTGCAGCTGGAGTCGCTGAAGTAACTTCCTCTGTGCTGGTCCTGGGGCTGCTGCTCCCTAGCTTGAGCAAGCAGAATGTGAAGCTCCCCAGCCTCAGTTTCCCCCTTGGTAAATGCAGGCATAACAGTCCCCGCCCTTTGGAGTGGAAGGTAAGTCTGTGGCCTGGAGGTGCCCAGCACAGGCAGAAAATACTGTTTCCCGCACTCAAAAATGATGGTTTCTGTCGCCGGGCACTGTGGCTCACACCTGTAATCCCAGCACTTTGGGAGGCTGAGGCGAGCGAATCACCTGAGGTCAGGGGTTCAAGACCAGCCTGGCCAAAGTGGTAAAACCCCAGCTCTACCAAAGATAGAAAAATTAGCCAAGTATGGCCAGGCACGGTGGCTCATACCTGTAATCCCAGCACTTTGGGAGGTTGAGGCAGGTGGATCACCTGAGGTTGGGAGTTAGAGACCAGCCTGACCAACGTGGAGAAACCCTGTCTCTACTAAAAATACAAAATTAGCTGGGCCTGGTGGTTCATGCCTGTAATCCCAGCTACTTGGGAGGCTGAGGCAGGAGAATCACTTGAACCTGGGAGGCAGAGGTTGCCATGAGCTGAGATTGCACTCCAGCCTGGGCAACAAGAGCGAAACTGTGTCTGGAAAAAAAAAAAAATTAGGTGTGGTGGTGCACTCTTGTAATTCCAGCTACTTGGGAGGCTGAGACGGAGAATCGCTGGAACCTGGGAGGTGGAGGTTGCAGTGAGCCGAGGTCATGCCACTTCACCCCAGCCTGGGCAATAGAGCCACACTCTGTCTCAAAAAAAAAAAAAAAAGAAGATGGCTTCTGCATTAGCACAAAACAGCATTTGCTTTTTTTCCCATAGGGCTTTAGACTTTTCGTAAATTCCCGGTTTTTTTTCTCCAGGACTCGGATATGTTGGCTTGTCATAACTATTGGCACTGGGCTTTATATCTGATTGAGAAGGTAAGGTGACCATCTGTTTGCACTGTCTTACCCCATGAAGACGTCCAGAGGGAGAAAGATTTTTCTGGCTGTTGCTATGTATTCACATCCTATGGGGCAGTTCTGTTGTGTTTGCACGTTTCAGTGGCGACTGATGCAATGCAGCATTCCTGCTTTCAAAGAGCATTCCAGGCTTGAGTTGCTTTAGGGGTTTTTCACTGCTGAAGCCTGGAAGTCACATCTGTGGTGTGTAACTAGTGGAGACTGTTCAGGCTGAGTGCCTCTCTGTGGCTGGAGTGGAGAGCCAAGCCCCACCCCGCTGGGCGTACCTGCCTGGGCCAAGAGCTCTTCCAGCAGGAGCCAGGCCGTGGGGCAGCTGCTTGGGACAACCTTGACCCCAGGGATTCCGCCACAGGGTTCCATGTATGAGGTTGTCTCTTGCACTGCTCTTTATCATGGACAAAAGCTAGAAGCTCCCTGAATGTCCAAAAAGCAAGAAGTGCTCAGAACACGAGGGCCCTGTTGTGACATAAGAATGTGACGGTACACTGTCTGGAAGACAGCACAGAACCCAGCTGAAGGTACAGGAGAGGAAACACATGCAGAAAAGAAAAAGGTGGCCTGGTGCAGTGGCTCACGCCTGCAATCCCAGCACTTTGGGAGGCCAAGGCAGGCAAATCACCTGAGGTCAGGAGTTTGAGACCAGCCTAGGCAACATGGTGAAACCCCGTCTCCACTAAAAATACAAAAATTAGCCGGGTGTGGTGGTGCATCCCGGTAGTCCTGAGGCTGAGGCACGAGAATTGCTTGAAGCTGGGAGGCAGAGGTTACAGTGAGCTGAGACTGTGCCGCTGCAGTCCGGCCTGAGTGACAGAGGGAAAACCCATCTCAAAAAAAAAAGAAGAAAAAGGCTAGAAAGAAATACATGAAACAGCTTGCAGCAGTTAGTATGAGCAATACCTGTATTACCTCTTCCACTAGGACAGAGAATGCTTCCACAGCACCTGCTTCTTCAATGGCTGCAGCACAGGGCACTGCTGTCCTTCCTATGCTGGGATCCAGAGGCCTGGTTGGCAGCGGGTTTGCCTTCTCCCGCCCTAATGCCGCCGAGGCAATGCCCGTGCCCCTGTGAGAGGAGGCGGAGGCTGGAGGCCATGCTTCGGGTGCTCTGGCCTGGCCGTTTTCAGCATTACACTTTGCCTTCTCCAGAGCTTAATCAGGAGAACTTTATTCTTCCAGGGTGAATATGAGGCCGCGCTGACCATCTACGATACCCACGTAAGTTGCGTTCACACCCCGTGCGGTTCGTTGCAGCATTTTGCCTTTTAGTCTCAAACAGACCAGATCTTTGAGTTCATCGGGTTATCCCAGCCAGAAAAAAACAGCAGGAGCAAGAACACGTTTCTTGCGTAAGGCCCCGTGGGATTAATTTTGCCAGGAGCAGTGTTGTAACCCTGCCTGTGATGGTGACAGTGGTTGGCTCTGCTCACCCTGAGGGTGTTGATAGATTTACACGTCTGAGGGCCTCGTCTGCAATCGTGGACTTCTCTCCAGCCCCTTGATACCACTTTTCTTTGGTAAGACAACTGGTCTACCCATTGGAATTTTTTTACTTTACCATCATAAAATATAAAAAAACATAAAATTAAGTGTACACGGCCGGGTGTGGTGGTTCACACCTGTAATCCTAGCACTTTGGGAGGCCAAGACAGGGGATCATTTGAGGTCAGGAGTTCAAGACCAGCCTGGACAACATGGTGAAACCCTGTCTCCACTAAAAATATAAAAAAATGAGCCAGGCTTGGTGGCGGGCGCCTGTAAGTAATCCCAGCTACTCAGGAGGCTGAGGCATAAGAATTGCTTGAACCCCAGGAGGCAGTGAACCAAAATCGTGCCACTGCATTCCAGCCTGGGGTGACAGAGTGAGACCCTGTCTCCAAAAAAAAAAAATTAAGTGTATAGTTCTGTGGCATTAAGCACATTCACATTGTGTAACCATCACCACCCTCCACTTCCAGAACATTCTTCGTCTTCCCAAACCGAAACTCTATGTCTGTTAAACACTAACTCCCCATTCCTCCTCCCCAGGCCCAGGCATTCTTTTGAGAGGAGAAAAGAAAAGCCTGATTCACAGCTCCCAAGGACCCTAGTGTTGGCTTCATCATAAAAGCCTGGGACCATGGAAATGCTTATGATCTGGGGTCCTAAACACCAGAAAAAAACACACAGAACATTTCCCTTGAAGGAATCCTTTCTACATAATTGGGAAGTTGTAGGAAGAAATGAAGGGTGGACCGGGTGAGGTGGCTCATGCCTGTCATCCCAGCACTTTGGGAGGCCGAAGTGGGTGGATCACCTGAGGTCAGGAGTTCGAGACCAGCCTGGCCAACATGGTAAAACCCCGTCTCTACTACAAATACAAAAATTAGCCAGGCATGGTGGTGGGCGCCTGTAATCTTCCCAGCTACTCGGGAGGCTGAGGCAGGAGAATCACTTGAACCTTGGAGGTGGAGGTTGCAGTGAGCCAAGATCACACCACTGCACTCT